AACCGCCACCACCACCATCAACCTGAAAACAAAAACACCTCCGTCCCTCTTGTCAAACAAGAACTTGTTGTTCCTTCCACTCATGAGATGTAGCGTGGTATCCCGTGACCAGAGAAGCAACAACAACAACAACAACAACAACAACAACAACAACAACAACAACAACAGCACAACTAAAATGATAATCACCACCACCATTACCATCGTCATCACCACCAACAACAACCACCACCAACCTGAACACGAAGACCCCTCCGTCCCTCTTGTCACACAAGAATTTGATGTTTTTTCCATTCATCAGATGTAGAGTGGCGTTCCTAGACCATATCTCCAGAGAGCGGGCGTGTTGATACGTAAAGTTCCACCTGCCCTGAATTTGTGCCGGGAACTTGCAGCCAGGCACTGGGGGCATTAGAGTGCATTCATTATTTATTTATACAAGTATATTGGTTTGTTCATACATGTGTTAATTTAATAATTAATTTTAAAATTGATTGATTGAATTGATTGATTGATTGATTGATTGATTGATTGATTCATCCATTTATTTATTTATTAGAGAGTTCTTGTAGGCGGCCTGTGTTCCAGACGTGGCCACATAAGTGGGTAAGTGTGTTAACTCATTAAAAATGTATTCACTTTCGTTGGGTTTAAGTCGTTTAAGTGCGTTTCACAGCACTTGCAACCCAAAATAGATCATATAAGTGCCGACGATTAGAGGTGTACTAAAAATGCTATCATCACAAAAAAGGGTAAAGAGGGGACAGTTTTAACTGATCGTAAAAAAGGCCCTTTTACGGTAGAAGGAAATATCACTGCAGACCGTCAAGTAGACTTGCACCAAAACATTTTTGGGATCGCCAAACAAAAATTTGCTCTTCAATTTCGTCAATGTTCATATGCTGTATAGTGGATTGCTTCTCCAATTAAGGTACGAATGAAGATGCTACTTTAAGATTTTTAATAATAATGACGATAATAATAGTTCGTCTGTAAGTGCCGAACGATGATCAATGTATCCGTAGAAAAGAATATCTCAGGCGAAATAGAAGAATAATTTGAAGGTTAGGTCTTTGATTTTTCTATTTTGCTTGAGAGATGTTCTCCACTTCGGATGCATTGATCATCATTAGACATTGATGGTCTACCTGTGCTGTATCATAGAACCAGGACCGGTACCGAACGCTTTAATACTGTAAGTTCGGTTCAGTTTCTGACGGACTATAAATAGACCCCTGCCTCTAACCGATTGCCCGACTCGCAGCCTTGAAAACAAACAGGTTTGTTCTTGAAGGTCGTTGTCGGTCTCGTTCGGTTTGTGCCACCATGGTGGTAGTGGTAGCTTTTCTCCCTCTATGGAGGAAAATCTGGCTAGCCATGACGACCAAGCCCAACCGAAACAAAGCGTATCGAGCTTGCCAATATGTTTCCCTAGAATTACAAAGTTCTATATGCAGAGTGACTAGTTTGGAGAAATTTGATGTAAAAAGTATTGTTTCACACCATGTTAAGCTATTTCGAAAGCAGTTCTGTTAGTATCTTGATAACGACTCCGAAAGATTTTACGATTTTAACAGAGCAAGAAACATTTCTTAATACACCCCCCCCCCAAAAAAAAGGGTTGAAAATGTCAGATAGACCCTTGTATTTCTAAGGCAGCGAATGGGCACCGGGTATAAAGCACTCACGTGCGCGACGTATGAAGGCATTAGTGATGTGGTCAGAATCCTCATGCAGACTCTCGCCATCCAGGTCGCAGGTAGATTTGATCGACAGCTCGGCCTTGCGGGGGACGATGACTGGACTCATGAGATGGGTGCCTTCACCTGGGCCTGGGGGAAGTAATAAGTGGGAGGGAAAGATTGTGGGGTGCGAGAGGGGTTGTGTAGGTTGTGGGGGTTGGGGGGAGAGAGGAGTTTGAGGTGTGAGGGAAAGGTTGTGGGGTGAGAGAGGAGTTTGAGGTGTGAGGGAAAGGTTGTGGGGTGAGAGAGGGGTTTGAGGTGTGAGGGAAAGGTTGTGGGGTGAGAGAGGGGTTGAGGTGTGAGGGAAAGGTTGTGGGGTGAGAGAGGAGTTTGAGGTGTGAGGGAAAGGTTGTGGGGTGAGAGAGG